GTTTTTGTACCTTTCGTAACACAACCATTAGCTGATATAATGATGAGATTTTTCATATTTTAAATATTATACCTATTATGATATAAACGTATGGATTATATATATAATTAAATATATAAGACATTTATGTGTGGTTTTCCACTTTGAATTGAAGGCCAAAGTAATCAAGTTTTTAAACTTCTCTAAAGTACTCATAAATTTAATAAGAAATTAAATATTTTATATATTTATTCACAGATTTACACTTTTGGTAAACAAATAGTATTTTTAAATAATTTATATAAATATATTTTTGTACCATATATTGATTTTTCTCATTACTTGTTATGTTTTACGCTTTATTTGTAATGCAATCACATTTTGATGCAATTAAATTATTCCAAACAAAAAACTTTTCCAATTAATGGCATAAATAATAATTGTATCACAAAATCATGTTTCATTAAAAAGTAATACTTTAATATACAGTACTTGATTTAATTAACTTTTGATTCATACGATAGAGAACTCAAATTGCAATTAATTAATTCGTTAAACATTTTGATTAAAAGCTAAAAATACATAAAAATTAACAAATATTGCTAAAAATCTATTACAGATTTGTGGATATGATGGCAGCAAAAGCAGATGAAATCAAATGAAACAAACATTTGAGTGAAGTATAGCTCTTATGTAAAGTATAAAATAAATATAAAATGCAATTACTATTAAACTTCAACAGCATTTGCTTCGCTATTCTCTCCCTTTTTATAATATTTATCAATAATTGTCAATAAGTTATAATTGGCGTCTAATTCACGTTTCAATTGCGCCACTCTTTGCTTGGCGTCGGCTAATGACTGCTCCAGAAGTGCTCTATTGATGGTTATGGACGAGCCTTTGCTCCGGCGATCCCTAATCTCTGTTTGGGAGCCGATATCACCTAAAATGCAAAATTATTGCAAATCATTATTTTATTAAATAATTATAATGTAAAATATTATAATTATAATAAGAGACAAAAAAATTGGTTCAAAAATCAATTAAACCAACCGTTGGCCTGTTGTAGATAATTGTTAACCATATTCATCTGAATTGATCGCCATTCCAGCCGCGGATCTTCTAATTGATTGATTCGCCTCAAGTGATCCGTATAATAGATCCCTATATTTATTTTAAAGTTAAATATAAATCTGAATTAAAAATAAAATATTTTCTTATTTTAAAGTAAAATCAAAACAAAATTAAGTCTCAATTTCTAATAGTTTAAAAAACTATTAAATTGAATTGAATTGATGTTTAAAATGCATACGAAATACAAACAATAAAAAGAGTGCAAAACTAATTTCATTATGATAATGCTAATATTTACACGGATTTAGTGAATAGTATTAATAATACATTTAATGCTGTAATCCATAATATATTTAACAAATTTCTCAATCATAGTATTTTCCATTCAAATGAAATAAAACTAAAATATCGTCATTAATGCTAAATATAGCTGTCATTAAAGTTTGTCAACAAATTGCAAATAAATTATTTTAAATTAAAACGATTTTAAAAATATAAATGAGAATTAAATTAATCAATAAAAACACGCAAAACATAACTATCAATCAATTGGTGAATAAATTTATAATTAGTAAACAAATTTTGTAGATTTTCTTATGGCATAACATAAATCACACATCAATTTGTAAAATATATTGCAGAGTATATTACATATAATATCATATAATTAGAGATCAATTAAATGAGTTTCGGACCAATTTGTGGATGAAATGAATACTCCCATCCGATGGGCAACTCTTCGGCCACACAATCGGCAAAAGTGGACGGTTTGGTGAGTCTGGAGGGCAAACACAACAAGCGGTTAATCAACGCTATTATCAATGATAAGAGTTGACGGCAATGTGCGGACCTGTCTCTGGGATCAAACCATTGCGTCCTTTTGCTGTTGTGGTCCACATAATAGGTGTTCCCGGTCTCCGAGTCCACCGCCACTTCCCATCCGGGAGGCAGTGGTATGTTTTGCGTACTCCTCAGCCGATGTGTCTTCTTCATTGTCTTCTCCGCCTCTTCTTCCTCTTCCTCTGGCAAATGTCTCAATTCATTTGATCCCTAATTCACTCCACAATCGCTGACAATGGGTTCAAAACTCGTCAATCGATGTCTTAATCGGCGATTAATTGAACACAAAATTAGACTAAAATAAAGTGTTGTTTTTCACAAATGAAACCAAAAACTTGTTTTGCATTCAATATTCACATGAATGCCATCTTTTGTGCGAAAACTTTTGTCATAACTTTTTGAACCTATATTTCTGATACAAATTCTATCTCTAGTTTCTATTCAAAAGTTTTTTTTTTTGATTTTGTTGTAATTTAAGAATCGGTTTAATATTATGGTTGAGGTGTAGGCATACCATGAGTGGCAAACTTGGGGCTAAACCCAAAAGTGCTTAAATAAATACCATTTGAATATAATTTAAGCTCATTTATGCTAATTAACGAGGGATCTAATTAAGACTACTCTAGTTAAGAATACATTGTGTTTAAGGCCCTTATATGGCCACATGATTATCTCCCGAATAATTTAAAAAGCAAACTAAGTTAATACACTAAATAAAATGGCATGTATGTAAAAATACAAATATTACAAATATTGTAGTTATTATAAAAAAAATATGTAGACAATTACAAATATCTGTACTGTAATTGAAATAAATACAGTGTAGTGATGTATTGAGAATTATTAATACAATATTATTTCAATTGATTTTTTAATGCTAAATATTTTTGCTATAAAATTGATCTAATTTTTAATATACTATATATAATGTAAACAACTTATCATTTAATACTTGCAATTACTTTCACTTATTGCCGACACTATTAAGTTAAGTACAGTCTGATAACCAAAGTATGGCTTTTTATGGCAAACAGGTATTGGTTTACAAGTAATTTAAACCTCATTTGAGTAAAATATGTATTTATAAAAAATGTAATTTTGTTCGTATTGTTTAATGTCATTAATTTAGTGTTTTTTGTTTATTAAGTTTTGAATAGAAAAAGTGTCACAAATCTATTGTCGCTAGAATTTGTGTAGGAATTGAATGCAATTGTTTGATAGCAAATAAGTCTCTCTCTCTCTCTCTCTCTCTCTCTCTCTCTCTCTCTCTCTCTCTCTCTCTCTCTCCGTCTCTA